CCACATCCCAATCTCAAAACACATCATTTAATTGTCTTGGTCATGGACATTTCCAAGATGAGATTTTATATTTCGTTCCCACAGCTTCTGATTATCGGAAAACCCATGCTTTCCTTTATTAAAGGAGTTTGGTCCAGCTGATGTTGGTGTATCCCTGTGTTAAAAGAAATGCAATTTATTTAAATTGTCGTGTTTGGGGCTGTTTTAAACTTACTAATATACATTTATTTATTACTATAAACAGAGGCTGAATATTAGAAGCCTCTGCAGAGATTTTTAAAAATACCCTTTCCCACATAGGGAGCAGACTTCAGATTCAGTATGTCTGTAGTAGGGATGGGGCTGGAAAAGGAAATTAGGTTTTTCCTTTTGTGGTGTTCAGAAAAGTCCAGGGCCTAGTACATGCTGGGTAAGTATCCCACCACTAATGTATAGCTTTTAATGCACATTTACGGTAATGCTAATACACAGTTAATAAGGGACACCATTCAGCTTTTAGAATTGCTGCCTGAGAGCTGGAGGTCTAACTCAGCTATGGAGTACCTGTCTAACATACACCACACCCTGGGTTCAATTCTCAGCATTCAATTCTCAGCACTGCAGAAAACCACAAAGGAGTTATAAAATAAGTTATCTGAAACCCATAAATAAGGTTAAAAATTAATTTGGTGGCTTATTACCAGCATTTATGAAAAAATGAAACAACAACAAAAATGAAAATGTAGTGTCATTTTACATAAAACTTGTTTTAGTTTTATGTTTAAATATATGTAAACCAGGAGTGGTGGGGCACACCTTTAATCCCTGCATTCAGGAGGCAAACTCCAAAGGCAGATGGATCTGAGTTCAAGGCGAGTCTGGTCTACATAGCCAGTTCCAGGCTAGAATGGGCTAGGGAGCGAGACACTCCACCCACCCCAAATGAAGAAATAAATAAAATTTAAAATAATGTGTGTACTGGATTTGGACCTGGTAACACATCAGGTTTATTTCTCACTTCTTGGTCTACTAGAAAGGATAACCAGCTGGTAGCCATTGGAAATGCTACTTGAATCATTTGGTGAAAGTCTAAAGGCTGGTGCTCATTGATGGATCTAGAATTTCATTCTAGGGTTCACATGAGCATAGTATGGATTGGCATAAAAGACGTGCCATTTATTCTTGACCTTAACTCATTCCTATAGCTCTATAATAATTATGGAAAATTATGATACCTTCCAATATTCTTCATCCTCATCTTTGCTTCTGGGGGCATTTCTTCTGGTTCACTCTGCAGAAAAAATAAATAAATAAACTGAGATGAATTCATCCAAATTATTAAATTCACTTGCTTACTAAAATGATAAATTTTATATCTATAAGGTACAAGCAGTTTCAATGCCATAAATTTGGGTAAAAGGAGAAAAACTGAACTATTTAACAACTTAAACTGTCTTCTAGGTTGCTGATTTTGAATAAAGAAAAAAATGGTAAAAATCTCATGGTTTACACATTTATACATATGTATTCAAATATCACACTATAGTATTAAATATAATTGTCTTTTTTTAATTAAATCTTGGGGTTAAGTGTTTTCTGCACAAACGTGAGGACCCAGGTTTAATCCTCAGCACTCTAAGTATGGTAGTGCACTCCTTTAATCCCAGTGCTGGGGAAGTGGAGACCAGAGGAACCCTAGGGGCTTGTTGGCTAGCCAGTCTAGCCAAATCAAGTTCCAGGCCAATAAAAAGGTGAAGAACTGAAAAGACATTAACCTCTGACCTCCACAAATACATGTACACAAAACACACACGTGTGCACACACAAAATTTCAATTTCATATAGCTATTTTCACAATACAAACTTGGGGAATGATAAAGACAAAGGATATAAATTAGTTACACAGCCAAAATAATGGAAGTTCTTAAAAAAACTAAAAGAACCATTACATGATTCAGTCAGCAATCCCACTAGTGGGAATATAGCCTAAGGAAACAAACATGTCAAAGAGACATGAACTTCCATGTTCACTGATACACTTTTCACAATGTTAAGACATGGAGTCTGCCTATGTCTGTCAAAAACTAAATGGTTAAAGAAAATGTCTTATGTATTCACAACAAAATCCTTTTTAATATTTATGTGTATGTATGTGTGTGTAGGTATGTACACATGAAATGCAGGTACCCTCTGAGGCCAGAGGTAAAAGATTCACCTGGAGCTGGAGTTAAAGGTTGTTGTGAGTTGCCTAATGTGGGTGATGGGAACAGAACTCATGTAGAGTGCTTGCCTAGCATGCACAAGGCCCTGGTTAGGATTGATCCTCAGCACCTCATAAAACTGGGTATGGTAGTACATGCCTATAAATCCAAATTTGAGAGGTAGAGTCAGAAAGATCAGAAGTTCAAGGTCAACCTCAGCTACATTTCAATCTGGGTCAGTTAGCCATTATATAGATCACCAAAAAAAAAAAAAAAAATTAAACTAAATTTTTTACTAATAATACAAATTCCAATCCTTCAGTATCGAAGACAGCCACACTGTGAGGAATTGGGACAGACAGAACAGCAGATAACCACCTCAAGCTCATACTTTGTTTTTATTTTCGAGACAGTCTCCCTGTAGCCCCAGCTGACCTGGAACTTGCTATGTAGACTATGCTGGTGTCAAACTTGCAGAGATCTGCCTGTCTCTGCCTCCCAAGTATGCACCACCATGCTCAGCCCAGATATAAAAATTAACTAAATATGGCAGCCCTACAAATCAGGCATGAGACTGTCAAGACAGCTGAGTAACGGCACTGGTCATAAATCTTGGCAACTGAGTTTGATCTCCGGGACCCAGATGGTAAAAGAACCAACTGTCCTCGGTCTTATACATACTCTCTCACAGGGAAATGCATGTGCACATATGCAAACATACACTTAAAAAAAAAAAAGTGTAAAAAAAAATCTGAAACATGTTTTACTATTCTCAAGCACTTTAAAATTTGGTTCTTCAGCTTCTTGCCCTAAAAATAAGCAATATTTTAAAAATACATTTACAACAAAATAAGAGAATCATCCAGTTTTTATGCTTGGGGATGTATCTCAGTGGTAAAAACACTTGCTTAGTACGCAGAGGGCCCTCAGCTCAATCCCTAGCAACATAAAAAAAAAATACAATTTTTGTAGGTGTCACCAAAAAAATTAAAAATTTTTTCCAATATAGTTAATTTAATACAAACTCCAATTTTCTATTCAGTTTTTATTTATTATTTTTACTTTATGTGTATGAATGTTATTACTTGCATGTATTTAAGTGTACTCGTGTCCTGAAATACCTGAAGAGGTCACAAGAGAACACTGGATCCCCTGGAACTGGAGTTACAGACGGTTGCTAGCCACCATGTGGGTGCTGGGTCCTTTGCAAGAGCAGCCAGTGCTATACCTCAAGGCCATCTCTCCAGGCCCTCTATTCAGATTTCCTTAAAAGAACTGGTTAATATAAAAGAAGGGCTAGCAGGATGGCTGTTGTATGCCAAGAGCTTGCCATGCAAGCTTACAACCTAGGTTAATCCCTGTATTCCATGGTGAGAAGAGACTCCCAAGTTGTCCTCTGACCTCCACACACATGCTATGGAATACATGCACCTGACTTTCATGCATACACATCACATATATACACAATAACAATAATATACAAAAAGTACAGTTTTAGAAACCAAGTGAAGCAAAATAAAACAGGCATTAACTTACATCTTCATCTTCATTGAAAGCTGCTGCTACGGAAAGGGTTTTTGGAGCAAGAGTTGGAACAGTTTCCTTAGGCTTCTGAAGAAGAAATATAATTGACAGACCATTACAAAACTTATACAGTCTTGTTTAATCATAAATAACTGACCTTAAAAGATGAGTTTTATGTTCTCATTAACTTACATAGTAAGGAACTTAGGATTTTGGATAAATCCATTCTTCCTTTGAATATATGGGTTATCAGTAAATAGATTTCACTTTACTAACTTCTTCACTAATTTGGTGTATCCATTTGTTTCACCCCTATACCAACATCACTCACTAGGATTTTTTTTTTATATTTTATTAATTTTATTTTATGTGTATGTGTGTATTTCCTGCATGTAGGTAGGAGCACCCGTGTTGTGCAATGCCCATGGAAGACAGAAGAGGCTGTTGGATCCCCTGGAACTGGAGTTACAGGCAGTTATTAGCTTTCACGTGGGTGCTGGGATTCAAACCCAGGTCTTCTACAAGAACAACCAGTGTTCTTAACCACTGAGCCATCTCTCCACTCCCTAGGGTTTCTAATTTAGTATTACTCAAGCTAAAGGACACACTGAGGTAAGAGGAAATGACTGATAACACTGTCTCACTGTAGTCTCATCATCAGTATAAAGTGCCACGAGAATACAAAGAGCATTGGTACCCATCTTTCTCTACTAGTTGTCCTTCTACTCTCTGGCCTGTAAACATGCTCCATCTACTTCATCTCTTTCAATGTAATCTCAATGTTCTCCCTGTCCCACTCAGTCTTCTTACCACCCATGTCATCTCCACCACTGCAATATGGCTCCCACCCTCATCATTCCCCTAACATGAGCCTTGGCAGGGGCACCAGTGACTAGTGTGCCACATTTTATTCTCATCACCAGCTCCTTTTTAAAAACATCTCTCCTCTGGCTTCTGGGGCAAAGCTTTCTATCAACTAGTCCAGTTCTCAGGCCTTTTGCTTGGTCTCTCTATGCCTAATGCTCCTTCTCAAGGCACAGATCCTAGGATCCTCTTAGTGATTTTTTTCCTTCTCTGAACTTCTTTGGTAAATTTCATTCCTTTCCATAGTATTTTAACTGCCAACTCCTTTGCCTACCCCTCAAAAGGCTAATGGACAGCTCAATTAAGAGCTCCCATGAAGAGTTCACTTTCACAGGGTTCCTAAGTATTCAGGCCTGAAAACCTTTTCCTCAGCTGGTAATGTCCTTTTGATCAGACCCCCCATTAAACTTCTGCCTGTTCATAACACTTCACACTGCCTATTAATCCCAGGCCTTTAGCTATACTCAACTGGACTACTTACTGTTAGAATTACCTTATGCCCAGGTTAGGGATGTACACCCCACTGGTAGAGTGCCTGTCTAGAATGTGGAGGCCTTGGGCTCAATCCCCAACAGTGCAAGGGAGAGGATAATAGCCTCCTTTGTGTATTCTTTTTCCTTCAAGACCTAAAAAACCAAGCTACATTTTGAAATGCAGGCTATTTATGATTTGGTTCTATAGCCTCACTTTGTTTATTGTTTTCCAAATTTAAAATTTACTGGATAGGTTATCCCAAATATAACTCCTCTGCTTAATCAGTAATTACTAAATCTTGTTAATTATTTAGAAAAAGGATAGATTTGGAACTACAGCATGTCTAAGCACAGTAAAATTTATTATTAATAGAATTAAAATTATGAGTTGATGTTTAGTGTTATCAAAAATTTAAATATTCAGGATATGATCAAGATATACTATATGCATGTAATAAACTATTAAGGAATAAATATTATTTTCTAAAATTACATATTTATGCAAGTTAGGTCTATGCAATTAAAAAAAATCACTTTAAGAACCAGCTGAAATAGAGAAAAATACCAGGAAGTAAAAATGTGACAGACTTTTGTTAAGACTGAAACTTTTTTAAAGGGAGGGGGGAAAAAAAAGCAAAATGGAGTACATGATGAGATTCAGGGATTCTGGGGAATGATTTTTTTTTTTAAAGTATTTTATTTATTATTTTTATTTCATGTGTATGCGTGTATTGCCTGCATGTAGATAAGTGCACCCATGTTGTGCAATGGCCTCGGAGGACAGAAGAGTTTGTCAGATCCCCTGGAACTGGAGTTACAGAGAGTTGTTAGCTGCCATGTGGGTTCTGGGATTCAAACCTGAGTCTTCTGCAAGAATAGCCAGTGTTCTTAACCGTGGAGCCATCTCTCTAGCCCAGACATTACTTTTAATATTACCAACAGTGAAAGATTTTTAAGAAACCCTAAAAGCTGGGCATGATGGTACATGCCTTTAATCCCAGCACTCAGGAGGCAGAGGCAGATGGATCTCTGTGAGATGGAGGCCAGCCTGGTCTACATACACAGTGCGTGCAGGGCCAGTAGGGCTGCAAGAAGACCCTGTCTCTAAATGACTAAAGAATGAATAAATGAAATCCTAAAATTCTCAAATAGTTTTCAGAAATTTTATTCCTCTCAGAAAAATGCTAAGTGATTACTTTATAGATCATGCATCTTCCACAATATATTAAGCCTTTTTCTTAAACTACTTTATTGAGACAGTATTCACAGACTCTTCCTAATGTGTTAATGACTTCTTAACTACTTACATGTAAGTTCATTCATCAAAGCTTAGGTAGTTTACCCTTTTAGGACTTGTTTTACCATATTCTAAAAAAGCAGATTCATGAAACAAATCTTGAAGTTACATAACACCATACATAAAACAACTCACACTTGATCCAAGTTTGATGGATATGGCTGATGCTTTCTTTGTCATCTGACTACCTATGGCAAATCCAAACTTGGAGATCTTTGTTGGCTTTGTTGGGAGGTCTGCAACTTCTTCTTCAGCTGATCGCTTTTCAGCGCTGCGACTGGAACTTTCCCCTCCATTACTGGAAGAAACAGTCTTAGTTTTCACAGGTTTTTCTGCTTCTTCTTCAGGTCCTGGTGAAGTCGAAACAACTTACCAAGATGAGCTATTTTTACTGAGCAGATTGATGGGAGCAGCAACCTCAAAAAGCATCTTTACAAGGAAGATACCTCTGCAGTTGTCACCTACTGACCCAACAGTCTCTTCCACTGTTAGAGTATATAGCAGGAACTGAGATTGTGTGGCAGTAGAAGAGGCTCCCATGAATTAACTAGCATAAAATACAGAGCAATTTAAAATTATAAACACAGAGTTCACAAAAAGTAAATACCCTTCAACTAAATACTACCGTATTAGCTGTACAATAATCTTGGTTCTATTTGTGGAATTTTGATGTTTAGAAATTCAGATCAATAAATTTTATACAAACTAACTTGTAATAACCATTCATGTGGTAAGAGAAAACATCTGACTAATAAATTCTAATACTCTCAATAATGTGTCCCAATAACGTAAAATTCCTAGTCATGAACATAACAATCATTCAAAATACAGCATTAACTCAGTCTTCTCAAGATTTGGGTTTTTTTCTTTACTATATTCTTTATGTGTATGAGTGTATTGCTTGCATGTATGTCAGTGCACCCATGTCATGCAGTGCCTGTGGAGGTCAGAAGAGGGCACTGGATTCCCCTGGAACTGAAGCTACAGATGGTTGTTAGCCGCCATGTGGGTGCTGGGAATCAAACCTGGGTCCTCTGCAAGAGCAGTCAGTGCTCTTAACCACTGAGTTATCTCTCCAACCCCTACTTTCAATCTGTTTAATGAGACATTTTGTCTGCTTTTGTTTTTTGAGACAAGGTCTCACTATGCAGTGAGAATTCCTGGCTGAACTTGTACTTCAAATTCCTGGGAGATTCTCCTGCCTCTGCATTCCAAGTGCTGGGATCACAGACAGGTATGAGCCATGGCAACCAGCTTAGTAAGACACTATGTATTTTGAAACTGTGGAAAACAAAATGTTGGAGGATCATTGATTACTACTGTGAATGTCTTCAGTAGTGTAAACTGTACTGAATAAACAATCACTTTAAAGTAAAATCACATATCAATTTATAAGAAACGATTTTACAAATTGCTAGATTTTTAAAGAATATTTTTAAAAATATTTTATTTATGCATGTATTGCCTGCATGTAGGTAAGTACACTTGTGTTGTACACTGCCTGCAGAGGACAAAAGAGGCTGTGGGATCCCCTGAACTGGAGTTACGGACAGCTGTTAGCTGCCATGTGGGTGCTAGGATTCAAACCCAGGTCTTCTGCAAGAACAGCCAGTGTTCTTAACTGCTGGGCCATCTCTCCAGCCCCAAAAGAATATTTTAACAAATACTGTTTAATTTATATTCACTCTAAACAAAAAGTATAGACTGGCTTGGAATGATGGTTCAGTAGTTCAGAGCACTTAGCTTGGATCCCACAAGCACATGGAGGCTCACAACTTCCCGCACACAAGTGATACACAGACACATACAAACAGGTGCACACACATACACATAAAATAAATTTTTAAAAGGGTAGCTTAATGTCAAGTTAGACTATATATGGTACTAATGTTTTGTTTTGTTTTCCATTGAATAGTGCGGACAGAGGATTGGGCCTTAGAGGACAAAGGTACTTTACTTTGAAACAACTACCTAATAAGAAAATGTAGTTCTACAAGGGTACCCTTAATGACCCATTTGCACTCTAGTAGCTTCTCTGGGGGTGGGGGGGAGTACACAACTAGCTCTTTAAGAGAACAGGTATGCAGCTTAGATGAGAATGTGTTCAATAACCCGTCTGACATTGGAAACATCCATGCTACTGAAGTAATTCTTAGCACAACCCCTG